TTTACAAATCCTTTAGTGTGCCCGAGCATGGCAGCTGCTCCATCGGTGCAAACATGTATGCATTTTTGCAATTCAGCAACTTGTTAGCTTTAAGTGCTTTATTGCTCTTATTGGTGGTTTTCCTCATTAAAGCTGCCTGCGTCTCAGTCTGTTCATGCTTGAAGTGATGGGTGTTTTGTCTGGAGATGGTGTTTAAGTTTTCTTGGAACCGTGGCACTGTTTGACTTCCCCGCGCACCAGGCGTAGCAGAATGGGCTCAGTTTGGTTCTCCAGTGTATGACAGTCCAAAGGCAAGATAATGTTAACTGTATTGTCATGTGTTTACTTTTTATTTTGCTTTCTTCCACTATTAAAGCCAGGGCCATCTGGGTTGGAAATCTCTCTAGGACCCAGGCCAGATTGATGCTTTTTGTTTTCAGTTATTTAGTAATCGCTATTCCCTGCAGTGTTGTCATATTCGCAGCTCGACTTTGTACTTTTGTATTTCTTCTTCATCTTCATCTTGCTGGTGGTAAGGGCAGTACAATTAAGTGGATCTGGTGGATGAGAATGTAACTGTTGTGCCTGTCACAACACGCCACTTGCTAAGAGTATCAATCAGGTGAAATTGGATAATCTTCCACGGCACACTCAATGATTTCTAATGGCATACTTATATTCCGTGGTTGGGAAAAGCTGATTTTAACCACTACCTCAAGCATTTAGTCTACAAGATGCTTAATTCTACAGACCCTCCTTGTTACTCCACACATCTGTTAAACAATTTGTTTAACTGGGCAGTTTAGATAATGTAAACTGATGTCTACATTTTTCAACTGTAGTCTACATGAGTCACTTTAAATAATCCATTTACAGCATATAAGAAATATGTTTTACACAGATACACACAAGAAACAAACAAACTTCTATCTAGGGAATATTTTTTAATATTTTAACTGTGTTTGCAATGAAAAAAGAATGAAATATGTTTAAGATTTTAGTTTTATTTATTTTGTAGTTTGAATAAATCCAAACCTTAATGAAACCAGCTGTATATTGTCTCCTTTACTCTTCCTTCAGCCCTAGGAGTGCAGGGATTTTAGAGAAGCAAGTTTGCAGCTGACATTAGTAAAAAAAAAAAAAATTTGACATTTTACATTAGCTACATTTTTAAGTGCAATAAAAGTTAATAAGCTACAGCACACTGTGGTTTAGCTATGTCTGAATTCAAAAGGCTTTAAAAGCCACCTGATTTTTCAGATTTTTTTTTTGGAGCTTGACTCTCTCTTAGAATAAGAGTGAGGAACCCTACAATCTGTTTCATTTCTTCATTTCACCCATGCAAGCAAAGTTTAGAAAACACTTCCTGTGAAAGTGAATTGGCCAGACACTTTTTAGCACACACTAATGTTAAGAGAAAGTTTTTAGACTAGTAACATTAATGCTATATTTTTCTGTGAAGCTCTGCCTTACAGTGACATTAGCTCCACGTTCTTAGTCACTGTAGTGCTGTGAGACCAATACAGAAGGTGCTGCTGAGCTCTGTGTTATTATAATCATTTTGCCTCAGATGTGTGCAACATCAGCATCCACTATATTGAAATTAAAATAAAAAAGTTTTAGCAGGTCTGCTGTGTGTCCCGCTCATGCCTGGGTAACTGACCCCTCCAAACTCTCCTCTCTCAGCATGGCAGTTGAGCGCTCCTCTTACACACTTTCAAAGCAGAAATTGGGTTAATGACAGGGCCAGTATGATTAAAAGAGCTGACCTAAACCACATAAATCATGAAGCATAACAGTTGTTGGCACCTCAGATTTAGAGATCAGAATCCACAGTTATACTTTTTATACCAGCAGGAAGAAACTGATGTTTCAGTCGGTGGCTTTCCTCAGTGTTTCGGAGACATTTGTGATTTGACCACAGAATCAATAGATCACAAGGTTTGTTTGTTTGATTGTTTGTTTTAACTACACCTCAGAGTGCACCGTATGCTTAGTGTTAGAAGTGGTTATGTAAGCATATCTTACATTATTAGCAAAGACTCATTAC